TTTGGACTCAACTGGACCCAGATCAGAAATAGAGACAAGTAAGGGACAATAATCTGAGGTACCTTTAGGGCGTAACTGGACTTTGGATTCAGGGAAGGCCAAAATCCATTCAGTAGTTGCTAATGCTCGGTCCAACCTTCTTCTAATGCATCTTCTGCTCAACTGGTTATTAGATCAGGAGAACCATCCTCTAACTACACCAAGATCAGCAAGAGCACAATCCGCCATTACTTGAGCAAAATCGTCTGAGTCTGGTGGTAGAGAACTGCACCCCCCCACTGATTCCTAGGTATCCAATAGCGTATTAAAATCCCCTAGTACCAACCAAGGAAGAGCAATAGTTGCTCCTAAGGTCCTCATATGGTCCCATAGCAAAGCCCTTTGGGACATATAATTAGAGGCATACACTCCTGAAATCACTGAAATGTTTCCATTGCAGATACGGGTAGCCTCCACAGTAATCATTTGATCATTTACATCAATCAGTTTGATTGAGTAAATTAGAGGATTCCATAAAACTAAAATTCTGGATCTACCCTCAATCTCATTAGCAATAAAGTTATTATAGAATCCTAACTTTTTTGACTAACTATGGCTCAGCTCCACAAGAAGTTTAGTTTCCAATAAGAAAAGAAGACCAAGATTATGTTGTCCTTTTAAAACCCCAATATCCGATATTCTAGCCCTGCCCTGAAGGCCCCTAACATTTCAAGCAGCAATCGACATAAATAAAATCAAAGGTTTGGACGTTTGGTGAGTGAAAGCTTACCTTCAGGAGCTGTAGGAGCACGCTGACCTTATGGGGTAACCCCATCTTGTCACCAATAGAAGCTGGAGTTAATCCTTTTGTATCACCTGTAGCTGATGAAGAGTGGCCCTTCTTGTCACTATTCGCATGATCCTGCACTCGTATACTAGAACCATACACTTTATCGGCTATGTGCTTAGGTTTGTGATCACCAACCATATTCCCAAGCCATCCTTTAGCATGTCCCCTTGTGGCCCAATCACACCGTTACCATGACCAAGGGTTTTCGGATGCTCAATAAGCAAGTGATCCAAACGGCCCTCAACATCATACTCCTCCCCATCGTTTTCTACGACGGCAGTGACGTTAACCTGCTTGAGGCTGTGCTCACATATCGTCTTAGAGTGGGCAACATGTTGATCGTCATCATGGTTGTCCAGAGACTAGCGAGGAGTCGCCATCCTCAACTGGCGACAGAACCTCGACCTCTCCAGACACGCCAATATTGTCAACATGAGTCATAGTTGTCACCTCATACTCCTGCTGCATATCAGAATCACCCATAGGAATGCAAGTGTCGATTGTATTTTGCTCAGAAGAGCTAACTGCCTGCTCAATAGGAGACCCCTCGTTATCCTCATGGACATTGGCTAGAATTGCAAAAGCATTACAAATGATGTCCTTCGGATCCACTCTGTTCGCATGAGAAACAACAACATTTTTCTTCTCTGACAAATTGGGAAGGGTTGAAACAACATCAGTGCTTTCCTTCCCCTTCCTTTTGTAAACTAACTACTGTCTCCCTTTGACGACCTTCCAACCTTCCCCTGAGGGTAACTTAACAGAAGTATCATCATTGGAAATAATTGTTGCGCTGACCTTGATGGAAACCTTTGCACTTAAGTCTGCTCGACATAATTCGGGCTTGTGGCCCACCCTTCGACATTTGGAACAGATCGAGGGTATATAACTCATAGACTATCTCTTGCTTATACTCCTTCCCAAAGAAGTCCATCCTTCAGTCGAACAAATGGTATCTAGATCCAATGCAACACACACCCTTGGCTCAGCCCTTGATCTTAATTTTGTCAGTTTGTCCATGAAGATGGGTTTTCCAACACTGGAGGCAATACAGAACAGAATTTCTGGTTCCCAATACACCAATGGTAACCTTGGCAATTTGATCCAAACTGACATAGTATGGTGAGTATGCCTAGAGGGTTGAACTGAAGGATCCCATTCTTGAAGTACCAAACATTTTTTGTTGATAAACCAAGGTCCCCCCGTACGGACAACCTCCATCTCCTTACTAGAATGGCAGCGAAAAATCAAGAACCCCCCATCAGCGGAGAATACTTCAACATCTCGCTCAAGTCTCCACATCTTCTTCAACATCTCTTTCATATCATTCCAATCTGGTCGGCGGCCCAAGAAGTATCCCAGTAGACAATTTTCCCACCGGCTCCGACATGAATGCATCACCTTCTTATCAATTTTGACAAATTCTTTACCATTAATAATTTCAATAGGTGAAGTATCTATCTCCTCAAAGTAAAACACTCCATTTTGGACACCTTTGGCCCCAAATAACAGGTCTGAGGACCTACCCGAGCCCCAACAACTGTTAGGTAAACAATCAATCTCGTTCTTAGGAACCAAGGATAGAAACTCTTCCTGTATGACACCTTCATCATGAGGACCCGAGGTAGATACTAGGACAACCTTACTACCCAAAAAATTTTCCAAGGGAGGAGTAACAGCCATCTCCTTGCCTTTGTCAGTAACAGCCTTCAAAGGAGGAGAGGCCTCCCTTACAGGACTCCTGATGACCCCATCAAGGTCATCAGCATTAGATCTCGGGCCAAGACCCGAACGAGGACTTTCAAGGCCAGAATCTTGAACAACATCATCACAAGGGGCAGAACTACAAGCATCGAAAAATTCCCCAAAGTGGGCAGCTTCACCTGCCCAAGGATCAGGAGGTTTCTCCTCCATCTCGTAGCAGATCTGCTTCGCAAAGTGCTCCTCGCAGATCAGAAGCAGATCTGCTCCCCACAGTACTCGCAAATCTGCTCCTCGCAGATCTTATCGTCGCAGATCTTCTCCTCAAAACTCGCAGATCAATGTGCCTCACAGACTTCGCAGATCATAGAACCTCTCAGTCGCATATTTGCTCCTCAGCCTCACAGATCTCGCAGATCAATGTTTCTCTGAGTCACAGATCTGCTCCTCAACCTCGTTGATCGATGTGCTGATCTGCTCCTCAACCCAATGTGCCTCACAGATTTCACTCGCAGATCTCTGCTTCAAGGTCTTCGCTGCTTCCATGTCTTTGCATCAAGGCTCGCAGAGGCTTGCAGATCTCACACAGAACCTCCTAGCTCTCGCTGGTCTTCGCTGTTACAAGGTTAGATCTCACGCATAGCCTCCTACCTCTCGCTGGTCTTCCTCTGTGATGTTTTCGCAGATCTCACGCTGAGTGGGCAGGGTCTCGCAGAGGCTCGCAGATCTCCAATGGCAGAGGGTCTCGTAGAGGCTCGCAGCAGGCTCCAATCACGCTGAGTGGGCAGGCTCTTGCAGAGGCTCGCAGATCTCCAATGGCAGAGGGTCTCGCAGAGGCTCACAGTAAGTTCCAATTATAATAGAGTTTTGTTAGGGTAATACTACGCATGAAGTATTTCCTTTTTTGGACACTTGGAGCCCTTATCCTACAATGTAGTAACCTTTTTTGTCTAGGTGTCTTTTAGGTAATTAATCATGGGTAAAGTAGAATTCCTAATAGAAAGAAAAGAATTTATTAACTATAGTGGAGAATGACATCATCTATATGAGGTACGACATCATCTACATGAATCTTAACTACTAATAGAATGCTACTAATTTCTTATAGAAATATCTATTCTACCCCTCTTAATGATGAAAAATATCCTCGCTTGAAAAAAATTGTATTGTAAAGCAAGAGTAATGAGTTTCCAATGAATGTTTAGTGAATTAAAGAAATATTCCATGTGTATGAGTACCCTAACAATACCCATTGTAATATTCGTATCAATAATGCAAGAATATATCATAAAAAATATCATAACAATAGCAAGTTATGGATAGGCACTAATTTTGCATTTTTTTTATTGTATTTGTTATATGTAGAAGCAATTGGATCAGTCCATATCTAAATGGTCATCTAGGATACACATGTTCAGGTTCTTGTAATAGGGTTAACTATGCTTTATATTGATATGAATTTGTTTCACCATATGTGGCCATTGTATATGCCGCAGTGTTAAACGTCAGTAGTACACAATGCTCTCCAAATACTGGCCTAAAAGTAGGTCAAAGCATCCATCTAGTGAGATGAAGTTACTGAATGTTTTGCAAAGAAAAAGGAGGAAGATATTTGATGAAAAAAGTGGGGAAATATCTACATAAATATTCTTTTGACCAATAACATCTTACATAAATGTTGTTTCTTTTAAATATTTATGTGGATAGAAAATGTTACATAAATACTTAAAAGAAAGATGAAATGAAAAAATTAGAAGGCCTTGTGGAGCTTTCATCTTGTTATTCTATAATTCATATCTTTTTCAATTATTCTACTCGTATCAATGATTATATATTTATATTGTTCCCAGTTGTCTCCCGTTCTTGATTGCTATTATTTATATTCATATATTTATAATAATTTTCTATGAGAATAATTTGGACTTTTGACAAAAAAATTATATAGGAAGGCACATTTGATGGAGTTGTTCCATGATATATGAACCCAAATGTTGCTTACAGTTTTAAGAATAGTTGTAAAAAAAGGCACTCCCGCTTTAGTTTCTATAGTTTGTATACAGTTAGATTTACTTCCAAGGAAATTTTATAATTTAGTGTATAAGTTTGGATAATGGGATATAATGCAGGGTCTTAATGCGTCGCTTTTTATGCATTATTGATTAGATATAATGCATGGTCTTATTGCATCATTTTTTATGCACTATTCACTGAACAGTCAATGTCCTTCCATGGGAATAGTCATCACGGGCTTGTCGAAATTTCTGGCATGCCTTTATCAAAAAGTGGAAGGCAGTTTAGATCAATGCGCACACATTGAAATTTGTCAAGAGATGTGTGTTAGGGCTGCATTCATTTTCATATTTCAAAATAACTCCTTATTTATTCGTAAGTATTGCAAGGGTTATTTAGAACATATTCCCAAATAACACTTCCCATGATAGTTTTATATTTTTCTTGTTTATATGTACAGATTAAACTTTTCGATTGTCGTGCACTACAAAGAGGAGCTGTACAGTCTTACGATGGACATGTGAATTCCCATAGTCTCATACAGCTTGGTGTGGATCCAACAGGATCAATTCTAATGTGCGGTAGGTTCCATTCATGGAAAAGCATATTTGTTTATTTCACAACTTTTGGATTTGTGCTTTACTGTCCATTTTATAAATGACAGGTGGGGAGGATGGTCACGTACGTATATGGAGTGTCAAGAGTGGGGAATTGTTGTATGATTCAGAGATCTCAGAATCTGTTGTCCATTCCGTGTGCTGGTCGCATTCTATTGGAGGTATGTCGTGCTGGTTTACTAAACGTTCATGTTTTTAGGTTTTTTAGTTATTACATGGGTTTATTTCCTTTTTCACATTAGTGAACCAATGTTAAATTGAACTAGTGGTGGGGTTGAACCTGTCACCCACCTGTCCGAGCCAAATTGGTATAGTCAATGAGACAATTGGTCGATGACTGATTTTTTTCTTTTTAAAGAGCAAGAAAATAGAGAAAACTTTACCTA